ATTCTGAGGAATAACATGAAATTGTTTGTCACTATGTCTTGAATGATCTAAGGTTGCTACTAAAACGCATTGCTAATGATAAAGAAAATACTCGTACGAAGCGTATTAATAAATTAATTTATGTTAATTGAAAAAAAACAACTATGTATCCTCGAAAGTGGTTTGAGGTGGTCGAAAGTGGTTTTAAAGTGCGCTACAAAATGTACTTAACAGAAATGTTTTTGTTTAAACTCCAAAGGGTATTTTTAGTGTAGTAAATTAAAATACTTTTATCTACAACGGTTTTTTAAACTAGCCTTTTAAAAACATTCACTTAACAGCATTGTTTTCTTAACAGCATTCTTCAACTAATCAGCTGTTCAGACCAATTCAATTGTTGAGTGGTGCAATTTAGTGTTTGGTACAATGATTCATTGCATCACTGTCAGTGGCAATAAGAGGTTTGTAAACGAAAACATAACCTCTCTTAGAAGTTATGAGTTGGCAATTAAAACATGGTCATAGGTAAAGTAGTCTACGCAAATTGCGTAAATAATCTTTGCGCGAACGTTGCGTAAACTAATATAACATACAGCTACATTTTTATTTATGATCTCTTAAATTGCCATAGTACACAGTTGAATAAAAACCTTTTGATTTGTTAACCCTCCAAAGCTGAAACTGGGTAAAAACCCTTCCAAATCAAATGTTTTAATAGATAACAATTAACAGTTTTAGTAAAAATCTTATTGGATAAAAGGGTTGATTTATCATCCTACGAAGTATAATAGTGCCACACAAACTTTACTGGATAACAGTTTTCACTTTGCCTTGTGTCTTAACACTTTGCCTTACTCTGTAGTTTTAAGTAACAACAAAATAAAACAATAGCGAGTCTGAACCTCTGAAATGTTTTTGTATTTCTTCAATCCATACTTCACGAATACCAACCACCCCAACCTTTACAAACTACCATTCCACCATCTTACCAAAACCCACCACAAAAACCACTTCCACAACCACGAAACCCCACACTGACCACACTGCATACTCACAATCCACAATCTTACTTTCCCCCCACCAGTAGTAGTGAAAGAGGTTGTTAATCATAATACACATCATTTCCCGCCCTATATTAAGCTGAAAAGTACTTGCCTTAGAACAACCCTAGAGAACTCATCACATAACACACATACTTAAATTACGATCACATACCGATACCGAATTATTTTTATAATTCCCCTAGGCATTTTTGAACGATAAAAAAATTGTTGTTCGTGGTATAAATAGTATAAAATAAAGTCAAGTTATATCAAGCACTCTTCTCCGATGCTTTTGGGTTAAATGGAGGGAATGGATGAAGACACTATCTTTAAAAAAATGTTGTTCGTGGTATAAATACCGTGGTATAAATCGTGGTACTATGAAATAAAGTCAAGTTATATCAAGCACTCTTCTCCGATGCTTTTAGGTTGAAGGGAATGGATGAAGACACTTCACTAGAAGAATAATTTAATTAGAAAAAAACTATATCGGCTACACTAAAAGTATAAAAAATGTGTTTAATTTCATTGCTCAGATTTGTCTTAAACGTTTAATGGAGTTTCCAGGAGAAAATCAGTAATAAGTAATCAGATTTCTAAAAATCTTACTCTGATCAATAACAATTTAAAAGTGCGGCATCGTGAATTCTAAACTCGATTACAAAAATTTATGTGTTACAAAATACATAATTTAGACTACTTTGTCCAATGATTAGTAATACCATTCTTTAAAATGCGCTCTTTACAAGATTTTACTGCAGTAAACGGAAAAGAAAACTTAATCATTGATGTTTAAGAAGAGTTCAAGCAGTAATTTTATCGGATCAAAGAGAGTTCTTTTTAGTTGTCTTTACTCTTTCTCTCTCAACTTTGTACCTAAAGAGTTTCAGTACTAAACGAAATCTTGGATTTTATTTATTGAACATGAAACGGGGAAATCTGTGATTTACTGAATGCAACCAAATTGATGATTACTAAGGTAAAATTGTTAATGGAAACTAAACCACTCAATCGTGTTAGCAGTTTGACCCCATTGGAGTTTTAAAAGCATATTACTTTCAATAATTGATGCGGGTGTTATTCATACTCTGGCTGTTTTAGTTCTTAAAAAACCCGTGGTATGCAAATGAACAAAACAATTACGAAAAAAAAATACCTACTTAAGTTGGTGACTTGCTACATTCAAATACGTTCATTGCATTGTAATGTATTTCTAGTGAGGGTTTCCTTGTTTCAACCCAGTATATTGTAAACGTTTTCAATCAAATCTGAATTGCTTGGTAATCGTTGTACCAAGAACCAACAATTGAGGCTGTGTTCGATGTACACGAATATTGGGACACGGAAAACGCTCCCTACTGTAAATACTACTCCCAATATATTAGCCAAAAAATTACAATAGCATAGTATAACTTATTGCAGATAAAATACGTAAAAGGAAAATGCTACAAATATAATATTGCAAAACACTAGCGTACAGGCTTCCCGTAATTTCCTGAACACTTTTTGGAGATTTGATTAGTGGAAAAAATTTACATCAAAATTATGCGCTAAAACGCAAAATTACCTGTCTATCATTGTCATTATCATTACTGATGACTACGACGGACGCCTAGGTACGTATTATAAGCTGAATGTAAGTGCAAATTGAGTGTAGAATTGAGCGACCTTTTATGTGTAAACACAATTCGCCAAACTCTTAATAATATCTTAAGATATTCCAACGATATTTCAAAACTTGAATTAGCACGATTACAAAGCATCTTAAATACAATGTACGCAAATTTCACATGTCTTATGATTTTACCATTCGGAAATCGCGAGTCTTTAAATGTTTCAAAATAAAATATTACAAACTATACTTACAAAATCCTGTTTTTAGAACCAAGTGAACTAAAAAATTACAGAATAAGAAATGTATTCGAACGATTCTATAAAATACAGTTTTTCACAACCTGTGGATGACAGTTAAAACTTCTAGTGATTTGTTTACGACTGAGTTGCTAATTCATAATTAAAAGTTTTAATTCCCCTGATTGTATTGTTCACTGCCAACTTCAGTCTGGAGAAGTAACTTTGCAATTTACAGTAACTTTTAAAAGGCTTGACTGATTTTCTTTAATCAAACTCAATAATTAACGCGAATTAATAAATGCCACATACGTTACCATAAACAGTCACACGTCGTGTTTTACATGGTTTATTGTTATTATTTATCATATAGAATTTAATAAAGTTATAAAACGTTCAAGGATTATCTCTGAATGTTAATTAATCGTTCAAAGGATTGATCAATTAACTAAACAAAAAGTTGCGTTGAAAAATCATAAATATATGTTTTTGACCAGCATGGAACCATAAATTATGGTCTCATGTTTAATTGTGAACCGTATCTTACTCATAAGAATATCTAAGATTCAGACTCAAAACTATTTAATCAAATGAGCTTACCCGTATTTGATGCTTCGGTTGGAATTTTATGTAAATTAAATTATAAACTCATAATCTTTTTCAAACTATAGTTACATTTGTTCCTTATAACTGATTTATGACATAAATGTTTAACATGAGATCTTGATAGCAATCAACGCAACAACATTTTAATGATACGTACCAATTTTATAAAAAAAATACGTATATGTGTTATGATGTATTGGAATATAAGTATGATGTAAGCAGATGAAGGGATGATTCAAGCTAGCCCCAAACTAGTGGTTATGTTGTTAATTTGTAATCCAGTATTGTTTGAACTGACACAAAACATGATTTTAGAACAGCAAATAATGTCTAAGGGGAGCTAATCTTAATTCATTTGAATAAAAAATATATTTTAACCAACTGTTCAACTGTTCACCTTGATTTTTGGAGATGTCCAATTAAATGGATGCAAGCTCATCAACGATGTATACAAATATAACCAAACTAAAACATGCTTCGTGCGTCTCCCAGTTACCCGGTTTAATAATTAACATCATGTCGAAATATTATGTCAACACCATCAATGGCATTCAGTCCATCAACATTAGTCTATTATACGGTTTAGTTCCTTTATACTAGATTGTCTCTTAAACACAACTCGTTATTCTGTACAAAAGGCCAACTCGAACTACAACTTCTGCTGTCTGTACTTGAGTGATTTGTGTCTTTGAGAATAAGTTCTGGAATATGTATGTGGGGCGACGAATGGATCCATTTAATCAGAATATTTTGTTCTTGCACATGCTAATGTAACGAACAATACTTTATGTATTAATGGACCATTTGAATCATGAAGCATTCAAGTTAATTTTGTTAGTGTGGCGATAAGTCCCAATAAGAGAAAAGAACAAATTCACACTATCTGTCGATGGCTTAGTTAAACCAAATCCTTTTTTATTTCGATACTGGGCTCAGATGTGATTTGCCAATGGGCTATCAATTAATTATTATAACAAAAAAGGTCTGCGTTATGTAGAAGTAAAAACAGTGGTTGGGTCGTTCACATGAACCCCCCCCCCCCCCCCGAAAAAAATACCAAAAACGTGAACGTGAAATAATATACATAAATCAAGAGATCTGTTATAAAAGTTCCATTATTTGGTGATAAATATTGCTATTGAATACGATAGTAAGATATGCAATTTAGAGATTTTTTTTTTTAATTTTTGCTTATTTTATTTATCTATTTTACTTTTCTCACTGTATAATGATAATAAATCAAGTGATTACAATTCTTATTATTTTAAGTATTTCGTAGCATTCAGTAAGTTACTCTATTATTTTGGCATATTCATCACCCCAGAGAAATGACAAGACACTCAGTTTATTCCAGTGTCTCTGTTAAACTCACCTCTACTACTAATATAACATGTATATGTATATGTATGTCTACTTGACAGAAGTGTATTCACAATCAATGATATCATCCTGAAGCATATATCCGTAGTACTAAAGGATTACTTCCAAGTGAATGTTACACTAATGACAGAATCCACCAACCTCTCCTGAACTTTCTGCAGCTTGATGTTGTGATGGCTGAGGAACTTGTCGTTGATCTCCTCCAGGGCCAGGTCAATGGCAGGTCCGCACCTCTCCAGGTCGAATGGGGAGTCCAGACGGGAAGCCATCAGCACGCTGACATTGTAGAGCTTTACTGAGTCCGTGCTGAACACCGCTGAGCCTAGCGTCAGCACCGTCAGCAAGTAACGGAGGCTCACCATCGCACTGCCGCGCAGAGACTGAGGCTGCAGCAGCTGCGGAGAAATTATGGGGCATTGGAAAATTATGGTGCGGTCGCGGAAAATTATTGTTTATGGGAAAATTATGGTACGCTTTAGGAAAACTATATTGTTCTTCTAAGGGTGGGTAAGATAAATTTAGTTTGTTGAAAATGTTTGCTGATTTATTTTCTACTGATAAATAAATTGTAACAATTAGAGTTAGGTAGCAAAAAACTTTATACATTCTCCCTCATTATTGATTGGATAACCCGGTTTTTAATTCCAATATTCATTTAGGATAATCTGACATGTTCAGCATGAACAGTTTCAAATGTATTGAATATAAAACCTAGGATTAGAAATTTTAAAGTTATTTATATGGCTTGGTGTAATTTTTATAATTAGAATCCAAACAAATATCCATGTTGTTTGTGTAAACATTTTACCTTAAAGTGGTTTTACAAAATTAACTCAAATTTAGAAGTATAAAAACCCTAAAAGTAAAAATGCTGCCTTTGAATGTTGTATTTATTTCTCTTATCATATTTGTAGAAAGAAATTGTCCGAAAAAGGTCTAATATAGCCTAATACAATATATTAAAAAATGTTGACTACGTCAGATGAGGGGCTGTAAAAGTTTCCGATTCCCATTTTTACCAAGTTTGTTCTTAAAAGGAAAATAAATATATTTCCACTGATTACAAATAAAGCTAAACAATAGTGTGGTGGGATCATTCATTGTTTTTATGTACAAAAAGATTTTGTAACTACAAAGTGTCTTTTATGTTTGGAGGTATTTTGTAATTGTAAAGTTGTTTATATTTTCTTTGTGCTCTCATTATCCAGCCTTTAACTAAATATTAAATCCATAGTAAAAGTCAGCAAAGAACCAGATATTGTATAGTAATTATGGTACCACCACGATATTTATGGGACGCGCGGCAACACTGCTGTATCGAGCATGCGTCCGATCAACAATTCTTTAAGTAACCACTTGGGCGATTTAGGAAACATAATTTAGGGATGTAAAGGATATATTTAGGAAACTATACTTTATCTTGTTCATTCATTATTTTTAAATAATTTAAGAACAAACTAAAATATAGCAATCACTTATTTTTTTAAATACCATCTATAAAAATCAAATAGCAGCAATACCTGGCGTTGCCCGGGCCAAAATTAAATCCACTATAATGGTAACAAAATTAATTTCAAATTGACAGTCGTATTATTGATGTAGAATGCATTTAAAAATGTTTTCAACCTGGTATCGCTCTTTTAATATTAGCTGGTGGTGATTTTAATAATCGAAATTCAGCATTACCTTTCCAACAGTACCTACTTATAGCTTCATCTTTAAAATGTATTGCATAATTTACATACCTTCTATTCATTTGACCTAAAGTAATACTTGGATGTTCCTTGGACTTTTTCTTGGCATCATAAGGAAAGGTGTCTTGGCATTTGAAGTTCTATTATATCGTTTGGAAAGCCATTCAACACAATTACGAACAAAAATACAACATTTCTTAACAAAAAAATGTCTCTATTGCTTTGTTTTTTAGATCAACATTATTGATCACTGTAAACAAAACACCAATAAACAACTTAGATGAACAGCTGCTTCATGTATAAACAGTACACGAGAAAAACACTTAGGGTTGATTTGATTATATATAGTGTATTTAAAGTGCATTTATATTTACACACTTGCCGTTGATTTTATTATATAGACTAAGAAATATAAAAAAAAAACAGATGCAAAAAATAAACAGTGCAAAACATAGTTTTTAAACTGTATGCTTTTTGGCTTAATTCAAGCAGTCTGTGTAACAAAACGATATATCATATTTTTTTTATGTAAAATGTTATGGTCAAATGCCAGTTAGGTATTACTTTAAATTATTTGAGTATTATTCGTAAATAAGGGTAGACATTTTGTTAACAAAGACGTCATCAATGTTTACCTTTCTGTTGTTTACAAACATGGCTTAAAATATATTTTGAAAAAGAAATGGCTGTTTTCTGGATTGTATATGTAATTTGTTAAAACCAGCTGTGTAGAGTTGTAAAATAAATGCATTAGTCAGTTTTTAAACGCGAATGTAAACTTTGTGTTTTTGAGTTTCTTAATGGTTTCCACGGGCACCAATAAATGTTTACTTTGAAAACCCCTCACCTCAGATCTTTCTGTAGCTGATCTAAATTTGCCAAAGTTAGACTCTGAACTATGTTTTGCCAATGAATACTGAAAACAGCCACATTTGCCACGACAACCATTGAGAGCGCCTTCCAAAGAGTGAATGCAATGTGGGTACAGCGTTGGTGTTGCCGCTTTTGTAGGCGGGGCGCTAAAGTAATCCTAAATACAATAAAATACAATACTAAACATATTTTAATATTACCATTGGCTATATTATATAGTAAATGATATTACTAAAAAGGCAATTCTATTAAGTAAAGAAAATTTCAGCTAAATTAACGAAACTATAAATAGGTAATAAAATTAAAATCATTGATGCTATAAAATAAATGTTTAAACAGCTCCAAAACTTGATATAATTGTTAATGCATTCTTTGCTGGTATAAAGTATTTCCCCAGGTAAAAATCTTTTTTAATCTCTAGGCGAGTAAAAATCAGCTGTTATAAGCAGTTGTAAATTTCGAATTTGGCAATCATATCGATCGAAATTATTTTTCGATTGATTTATTAGGTAAAGTTTTAGCCTATTGTGGTCGATCACTCGACTAATCGAGGGTATAGTACTTAACACAATCGTAATAGACGAAATGATTGAATCACTTACTAAACAGAGCTGCTTATTTGCATTAGCAGAATTGAAAACAAGCTGGAAGTCGTTTTGAGAGGTTATTGAATTTTACATACAAAAACATTTAGTTTTTTAGCTTAGTTTTTGAGGCAATATGACTAAAAATATAGTTCACCAAACGGCCAAAAAGTATCCTTTTAACCCTCACTCGTTTTTTGTGTCTTTAGATGCTGCAAACTTGATTTTACATTACTCTGATGTATCCTAATAACATACCATAAAATCATAATTACTCCATTTTTGCAAACAAGGGGCTACCAAAAGAAGATGTACATGATTGCATTATTTGGCAATGAAAGTTATTAAAAAAAATATTATAATCATATTTGAGTACTATCTCCACTCATGCATTTCTCCACTTATAGTGAACAATTTTACTCCCAAACAAATAGTTAATTTTCAAATTATTATAACGTTAACGCTTTACGAAGGCCTACGTCAATGTAGTTCTGCGAGCTCAAGCCTGTTCTACATACAAACCGTTTGTTTGTGACACGTTGACGTATGCTGATGGCCGCACGTTTGTATTGCTTTGTTTGTTCACCACCCTTATCTCAAATAAATTAGTCGAACGATTGTCTTTCAAAATAAAATAGGCTATATTAAATAGTATAATCTATCTTATCTAAGTAGTCTTAACACTATTGTATTAGGTTTTCTGGCAATAAGTAAAATTAGTTATTAAACTCTTCGTACTTGTGTAGTTGCAAGACTAAATTGATTTGTTACAGTAGTTATTGAGGGTTATGAAATAAATCTTACTCTTAGTAGTTGCTTTATTAGTTTTCCTACAAGTATCATGATAAGTCATTTAACCAATATTTCTTTGAAATCTAATTTAAATTGCTTTATTTTTAACTTGACAATTTAACGTATTGTTTGACAAAAGTCATTGATTGGTGTACGATAAACAGGTAGAAATATAAAGTTAAATTATCTGTAACCAGTATTTTGCAATAGAAAAAACTTAAATAAACTCGAAGTTATCTATAAATATTTATTTATCATTTGGTTGTATATAAAAATCATTAAATTCGAGAAGTTTATCAATTGGGTTTAATTCTTAGGTTTGACACTATTAAAATTTAATACATCATACTCAGAACAGTCACAGCAAAATTTTATTAGTATTTCTACACTCTTTTTGATGAGTGAAAAAGTCCATCTCATTAATTAGCTGCAACACTACAAATACAATTTTTCTAACTGCTATTTGTCATCGTATGGCTACAAAGGAGAGAGATCTTTAGTATAGAGAAGTTTCTCCAAGGGATATATTCAACGCAGATGCAGTGAATATATCTAAGAATGCAGTGAATATGTGTACCTAAGACAACCCTATTTTACTTTATAGGTGTCCTTACAGCAAGCCTTCTTCAAACTATTCGGTCACAAAATGTTTACAAATAAAATACTGTGTTAGTGGTTAGATCTGATAACAACAATATATTTTGGTGCTATAACTTCTAAACAAGCTCAAGGTGAAGTGGTTAGATCTGATATCAACAATACATTTTAGTGCTATAACTTCTGAATAAGCGCAAGGTGAAATAATTTAATTCAAGTAACTCCGTATTTCCGATCATCTGTACGGTGCTTTGTGAGATCAAACATGATACACATCCCGAAACATTTCTAACTTCGTATTAAGCTTTTCATATACTGAAGACATTTTCTGGTGTACACAGAAAGATGTTCAGTGAACCTTATACAAGACCCGTAAACCGGGTGACGACCATGTCTGGTGCATATTTTATACACGAGACGAAAAACTTACTGTTTTTCACAGTAAATTTAAAACACAAATACCAAAACTCGTACAAATAAACTTTTGCTCTTATTGTTGTCTTAACTACTGCAATTGTAATGTGTTTCGATTCATTTATGGTAGTTGGAGTTTTTTTTTATTTATTTTTTTAAATATATTAAGAGCTGTTCAGTTAACAGCTTCTCTATAGCTGGGCAAATAACTTTCACTTCGTAAACCTTTTATTTGAAAAACATAACATTTCTGATAACCAACACCAAAATTTCTGGTGACCACTCTCATACACAAATAGAGATCATTCGTAAAAAACTTATTTTTTTCTGGAAAACAGGATAGTTGTTTTATGATTATAGATGGCGCTACGTTTTAATACAATATTACTTTAGATTTTTAGAAACTGTGACTCAGAAAAAAAGATTAAAATACTAAACTATAAAAAGGTCAAATAGTAATGCTTGTTGATAATAAAATTTAACAGTACCAATACATTGTGAATGGTTTATAATTATGTAATGTTAAGAGTTGTTTGTATCTATTTTGTATATATTTGGAAGAAAATATCTGCAAATTATTATACTCAAATGGCTATATCATTTTTAATACAAGATTTAGTGAGATTGTGATACACTTGGAAGCATTTATGGCAAGTTCACTCGTCTCTCTAGTGGTAATACCATTAGTTGGGTGTTGGCTGCAATGCGGTCTCGGTCCTGACCTACCGTTGGTTCTGTTGGCGGGTCACCAGAAACCATCGACGTAGTTTAGGCGAGACTTCTGCCAACTTCCAACTGTCAAAGCTACAACTTGACCAGCTCAACCCATCTCTCCATTAGTAAAGGAGTTAGTAATAGATATTATTAATTTTTTGTTTTACTGGGTCACTATGAACCTTCTCTGTGACTAGGCAAAACCTCTTCTGCCATCTTCCAACTACTAACTTGTCAGCTAAAGCTACAACTTGATGTGTCCAAAACATCTCTGCTAAAAACTACAGTCAACTATATTTTACTATTATAATATTTGTTTTGCGAACAGACTTTTGAAGGATAAAATTCAGATTTTCTACCCAGGGTTCATTTTCCAGCTGAGGTCTTTGTTTTACCCAAACATCTTGGCCAGTTTTTAAAGGGGAAAGTTCCTTTGTTCCTCGATCATACTGATTCTTATACTGCCATTTTTTACGATCCCATTTTGCGACAACGCTGTTGGGTACTTCAGGTAAAAGCATGCTTGGATTGATTGGTAGCTGTGACTGTGTTCTCCTAAATATAAATAAAGAAATTATAGACTTAACAAAACGTAAACCAAACGGTAATGTGAACTCGAATTTATAATTGGATTAGTGACATATCATCTATTGCATCTAGCTATCTTTGAACTACCAAAACAGTCGTACAACATAACGCAAAGGTGTTTTTTTTTTCTGGCAAATGAAGACGAAAGCAATTTCATGAGCTGACTTACAAAACCATACAGTTTACGGCATATGAATTATTATTAACGATATTTAAATTTAAGAAAAATGACTTATGAAGGTATGACTACTGTCTAAAGCCTTGGATCAGTGTATATGTAGGTTCACAGTAAAAATATTATATTTATCTTAGTGTTTCTATTCTCCTTTTGTTGTAAAATCCTAATACCAGTATTTTAGGATAAGAAAAATATGAGCAATTGTAACATGTCAATATGTATTTATAAAATGTACATAAAATAAATAATTCAATAATCAACTACAATAAATTACTACGGTTAACAACAAAGAATAACACCAAGAAAAAATATAAATAATAACAGTCATGAAACTAAACAGAGTTCAACTAATAAATAAATAAATATCAAGAAAAATATGGTTTCGTTAAGATTTAAGGTACCTAAAAATTTCAAATTCCTAAAAATAACATTGTAAAAATAGAAATTACTTTTTATGAAATAAAAACAGTAATATAACAGTTGCAAAGATTTAAAACATAAAGTAATAGTTTTTAGTTCAATGAATTATAGTTATTGATATAATTTTTTAGATCAAATGTAAAAAAATTGTTATTTAAAAAATACTTACGGATACGTTATATTTATTTATTTAAGTAGAGTTCGTACAAGTAACTAGATAACGGGAACACTTAATTGTATAGGCAGAATATTAACAATATTTACATATTGACATTCATAAATATATTTAAAGTTTTGATTTAACTTCATGACACAAACTAGAAGTTTATTCTTATTGCTGATAAATATTATCTACTATTACATAATGTTACCATTACAATAACTTTCTTGATTGTTCTATTAAAGCTAGCTACAAGTGAAGAACAACTATAAGTATAAATACGACTATAACATTTTAGATTAAAGCTGGATGAAAAATTAAGTAAAACTAAGACAAATTATACTCTAAAAGTGTTTAAATTTCAAGTAGGTACAATCACAGAATTAAGCTTTATAAATTAGAACAAAGCCTTGATTGAATTATTTTTATTTCCAATACATTAAAAATTATATTGTCAGGAGGAATTATTTTATTATGTAATTGGAAATGGTCTATTATTCCGAGCAATGGAAATATATGTTCCGGCAGAACAAATAAGAGATAAATAAAGAGACAAAATAAATTGGTTTTGTAACTTGAAAGTGAACTTTGTAGTACAAGTTCTAAACAGACATTTCTTATAACGTGATACAAGAGTTTTAAGCTGCAACTAGAGAAAAAAAAACTTAAAATGAGAAAATAAAGTAATATGTGTTTTAAGAAACTGTTTTGGGCACTCAACCAAAAATTTATAGGAGAGAAAGAAATCTTCCGTTGGATAAACATTTTAAAATTGAATTTAAGTATCAGCATACTTATAAAATAAAACATCATGTTTAGCACCAAGGGGTAACAGTTTCTTTTACATTTGTATTCCAGCAGTTCATTACACAATAATTCAACACTACTGATATGTCAGGCATTAAAATGATTTCAAGTGAAATTTCCACCTTGACGCATACAAAGTAAACAACCAATGGCGATGACTAGCTTAAGTATACTTATTTCCCCTCACCCTCAACCTGTTTCACTAAGTATACTCTGGTCAACACAAAGTAGTCTTGAAGTATAGTCCTATCAACTAACACTGGTCACAGAAGCGCCCAAACTATTGGTCCACTATACCGTTGGCACATAACTTGACTGTAATTCACTAACCTTGCTATCACACATCTAATTGCCATTTTCTAAGATTCACGTTTCATCACATGAACCGCTTATCAGGTGGTGATATTATCTTTTTCGTCCCTGGTTTCTTCTTATCACTGTACACAGAGTTTTGATACGCCGTCGGTTTTGGCGCGGAACTTCCTTTGTACCAGGATGTGTCCGCTATAGGTTTTGAGGTTTCTTCTTCTTCCTCCTCAGAATGCTGTGGGTCTCTGAAAAATTTAACATCTTTTAGTTTCTAATAATTTTAGGAGAGACATTCAGATCAAAGGTAAACTACAGTAAGTAAGCCATTCTGGATAGTATAAAACCAAAGGGACGTTTTGCATTTAGGATATAAACTATCATATTTGAGAAAAAATCAATAAAATTTGGCTGTAAACCAAACGTTCCGTGATCTAATCCAATAAACCTTTTCCCCATACGTTTCATCCAAATGCTAGAAAGTCAGAGAACTTTGCTATGGACATTTTTACGTCTGTGAGGGTCAGGTCTAATCAAATATCTACCGACGGTGGAGCTGTAGACTCAAACCTTTCAAGAGAGACATCTTTGGGTAGTGAGGGGAGCGAAAATAAAGCAAAATGGGGGAAAGATAGACCTCTTCATCACTTACCTATTGGGTAAATTTGCTGACATTATTCGGGCATACTTACGCTACAAATAGTCCAGATTACCTGGTGAAAACTTTTAAAGGGACTCTTTTATTCATATAAGTTTCAACAGCTCTAGCGTTGTTAATTACCAAACTAAGAAACCAATCGCCACTTCATTCGTTCCCCCACAACTCTAAAAAAACTCTACATGATTGAACAGTTGAGCCCCTTTTGACCTCGTGATGGGTAACATTTTTACTGTCAACTCAAAAACTAAATAAGCTCTCACTTCGTTTCCACATTCACACAGCCTAAACCACAGCCTTTTTTTGGTGCGAAAAAAGTAAGTGGTCCAGAATCTAGGTCTACCACCAAAACTTCCCTGAAGGGATATTTGCAAACCCCATTCATATCATCTTAACTAGCGAGAAAACCGGAAATAGGCGGTCAGATGTGTTGGTAGTCTTGTTGATTACACGTATAACTGACCAGCAGCTGATTGGACGGGTTGGGAATGTGGTTGGAGTAGAGAATATGTATCACTGGGCCACTTCCTGAACTTGGGGCACTTAGGGTTTATAAATACAGTAATCTCTATGAATTGCTTGGGGCGACACTGTTGTTTAGTGGGTTTAAAAATATTACGAGTACCGTACGATTTTTCAAGTAAGAGGGTTGACAAGAATGCTCTTGATCAGTAGTTTTAAATTTCATTACATTAAAAGATTTTGTATTTAATGAAACTGATGCCTTCAGTTTTTTTCTGAAGGGTTAGCTCCCTTCGTCTTTATGATTATAAATTTATAATTATGCAGTCATATTTTAACTGTAATACAAAACTGTACAATTCCATAAAATTTGTCTTTAAACATCATAGTTTTTTTTAGGAAACGGCGGGGCAGTTACATTGATTACTTTGTACATAAACTTAAGTAGCCAACATATTCTCTAGGTAGCAAAAGTGGATAAAGTGCTCATCTTCAAATCTGCTAGTTTCTTTCAGAGGATGTCTATTCAGGACTCAGATGGCATTTGTCACTGGGCTTTCAATTATTGATGCTACAAAAAGTTTGACATTAGATATTAACAAAACTAAATTTTTGGCCACTTCCTCACGTAAAGAATGCCCTTATCATTGAACACTTGTTATTCATATGTACTTACTTGTACTTGTTTCTGCTCGGGTAGTGAAAGAGTGATTTGGAACACGCCTTGTAAAACTTCCAGCATTCTCCGTCCTCCATTCCCGTCCTCTCAGCGTCCACGTAGTCGTCCAGGAGATGAGCGTAAGGAGACTTACTGGCCCTAGGAAGCAACATATGATAGGTAAGAGGTTTGGTAAATCAAGTAAGCGCAAGATGTATTTCGTATAGAAACACTGATCAAGGCATCCTTTCAAGAACAAGAGTATAGGACATAATGACAAATTTTGTTCTTTAATATTCATGTCCCTGTATTTAGTATTTTAAAATAGCTAAACCAAATAGCATGATGCTCTCCTGGAGTGGGCTTTTACCCCGGTCGCGAACCGTTGTGAGTAGGCGTAACTCTTAAGGGTTTAAACCCAACTTATATGATGTTGGGGAAATGACAGAGTTAAGCTGCAGCAGTCAATTCCCTGATTATATAAATGATACAGTTAACATAAAACTAATTTAGTTGGGAAAAAGATAGAGTACAACAACTGAATGTAAACAGGTCAAAATTTAAACAAACTCATAACAATATAACATTTAACCATATGTTATTAACAAATTAGGCAGGCAAGGTGAACATGAAAGTTAGAAATTACAACATTATATACCCAAAACCTTTCATGGTGAGGGTTTAAACTTATATTGATTTGTCTCTTAGGGGGCTGAGATGACCTTCCTTGAATAAAAATATTCGTTAAGAATGGTTTAAGCTAAGATTTAGGGTGCATTTATAAATAACCTATTTTACTTGTTTATTTGTTGCATAAAAAAACTTATATACTCTTCCAACTACTCTACTTCAAACATACTTATGTTTAAAATATTAAACTATGAACATCAAAATAAACACAAGGAAAACAGTGATGAGAATGCACTTACGTGAAGAACAGTTTGACGACTTCTCCAAGCAGGCCGTACTTGTGATCAGGCTGGCCGTGGACTTCGCATATCGCCCTCAGTAAACACGCGTGACCATCCATGCCAAAGTTCTCCAGAAACTCTTCAGCTATAGTGTACAAGATGGCCCTGGAACATGTAGAGCTCCGTTTAGTAATTAAAGGAAATGTTCACTGAGATGCACTTCCAATAGAAATAACTTTGGTTAAATGAGTTCCTAGGTTTTCTGGTAAGAAAGCCGCAGGTTTTGATTTTTTTATATTTGTATTGCAATCAGTAAATTTTTTATATAAGTAATGAATTTAAGCAGTTAAGTCCAATAAGGATTAAGTTATTAACGAATAAAGGATACGGTTTGCAATCAACCCTTATCAATGTTAAGTAACCAATAGGTATAGAATAAAACTGTAATATACGAAATAATTTGTCGTTAAATTATTCAGTTGAATTGCTGGATCTGTAAAAATAAGAATTTTTGACACACATACTCATTGTAGGCCCCTATCCCCATAAGTCAATAGTTGGTTATCTAAATCATACAAATACATTTTACTTACATGTTTGACTAAGCCTGCTACAAGTAAAGTAACTTAACACTTGATAATTCTGGCCTATGGCTCAAACATTGCGAGAATTAAAAACTGCGGCATAAATTGTCTCAGTTTTTGTATATATATTCCCAAACCATTGAGACCTATTTATTTACCTCTCGCCTCCATGAAAAGCGTCATATGGAGGCCTCTCAGGCGCCGCTCGCTTGCCTCTCTTGTGTTCCAGCAGCTGTGCTATATAGTCTGCTAGAAGACTGCCTGACATGCGGCCCAGACTACGCGCGAATATTGGCGGCAACACTCCGTAGGGGTTCTGGTTGTCCGTCAGACCCAAGCTGTCGAAGAGAACTGAAAATCACATGTTCAGCGTTAATCTAGCTTTGGTAATTAGGAAATCCAATAATGTTTTATTTTGTATTGTTTCAAATATGTGTGCTAATTACTGCATGGAAGTACAAAACCACAGTGTAAAACCACGTAGTATAATTTACCTGACTATCTATGAGGGATGAATATCGATTTGTAGAGTGAGTCAAGAAAAAGTTTGAATAACCAATGACAAAGTGTGTCAGTAACTGCAACTATTGCCTTTGGAGACTGTACATAAATATACACCCTATCCTTTAACTGGATAAGAAGCTCACATTGTGTTTTTCAACATTGTATTTATTCTGTTAGTTTTCGATACTTTGATCCCTAATAGCTGATATTACTTGCAATAAGTCATATTTTTAGTGTTGTTCGGATAAATAGTTGGTGAACCCAGCGTAAATCGGTAATTGATAGAAACAAGCCACAATGTCAATGCAATCATACTAATTTTCAATCGAAATCGAACTAAAACTTAAAAATTGCCGTGAGATCTATTACTCTCCATAGTCAATGCCACTTCTTCTTTGTACTTAAACTTTTGAACTATACTTTTAGATTTGTAAGTCTAGCAAATTTCCGGTTTTTTTTAGCTAAAACATTTATAATAATCATATAGTGGTGAAATAACTATGGAAAAAATCACATACTATTAGTGGTGACACAGCAAGTTAAACCAGTTCTCCACAAAAAATATACCTCCTTTCTGCACTATTTCTTCATTCTTAGTTGAATGCGTGCTATTTTAAATAGTAATGATATAAAACTAATAATAGTAATAGTATGTTCTCCACTTACTGGTGAACGGTATACTGATGGACATGTTGGACAGGAAGCCCTCGGGCGGGTACCGGACGAAGGGTAGGGCCAAGGAGGGCGTGATGGTGAGACTAGAGCCTGGAGGTAGCGCAATACGACCATCATTGGTCAGCCAGATGAACCTCTTGCGGCGGTCGTGGGCTCTGGAAGGGTCCGGGGTGGAGTGTGGGAACAAGAGGGTGGCCAGGGCGAGGCCCAGCCAGAGTCGGGCGGAGCGGACGTCCATATCTGTGGAGATGAAATAGAGTTAAAACACCTAGGATAACCAAGCCTTTCAGAATAAACGTGAAATAAACACTTTCAAACTACTATTAGCATCTTGTTAGCCAATATACTGAAACACATATTTCAGTATTGTCATAGAACTGTTAATTAGAAAACATAAAAGCGTTGTTTCCGATGGTGAATTCTATCTCTAATTCATACACTCCCCCGTTAAAATGGGGATCGCCTAGTAATTGATTTTAGATTCAAGACAGATTTAAGAACAGTCAGAAGTTTGATGGTTTGAGATCCAGCTGTACTTAACCAATGCAGGAACATCGATGCTGTTCTTACAGGGAATTTCTCCCTATAGGCAGAACTCTATTACCGAATTTTTTGTTTTGGTGGCCTAGAAGATGAAAACAGTATTAATAAATTATCCCTAAGGAAGAACCAACTAGTCTTTAGTGACCAAACTACACTACAAAAACTTTATCTCGATCCATTACAAACCGACCCTAAATTTATTTTCGCCTTAATATAATGTACAATATGGAGCAACTAAATCAATAAAGTGATTGAGCAAGCTATTCAATATTCTGAACACACATATTTTCATTAGGAAGATGCATGAATACTATTTTCTTTGACGTATACCTGTTGTACGTAGAACAACAAATAACTATGAAAAGATGTGTTACCATAGTATGACGGTGTCAAACTTTAGTTACCTATTTTCATTGTGTTTGGTTAAATTGAATACAATATGGTACGACTTTAAGCATCACGTCAAAATGTTAATCAACAATACAACACTAGTATTTACAATGTAATAAAATTGAATCCTTTTAAGAAGGGGCATTAAGATTAGTGTTTTTTATATGCGGTGGTGCATTCAATAAACAGACGTTCGTCAGTAAGCTGGGATAGGACATACTGTTAGGGCATTTACTACATGTTAAACTAATATGTCCGCATAGCACCGAGTAACTGTTTGTTGTTCAATTAATTACTCAAATACCACATTACTCTGACGCCACCAAACCTCCCAAACTAATATTAGGTTTACAATTATCAGAGTATAACATCAGCCCTGTTTTAGTTATGTAATTATCTTATTAATGTGTTGGGTTGTTGATTATTATTCAAACTCATCAAAAAGATGCAATAATACAGATACAATATACATGATCTAAATCATTTGAACGATTTGGCAATTGGTTAAACAACAATATTAAAATTCAAAGGCTTTACCCTAATTTTATTAATATTTTTGTATTTATTAGTTTTTTCTTTATATGTATTTTATTGGTTTTATTTACAAATATCAAAACTCTCAATATCACGACAGGATTGAAAACAACTGTCGTTTTAAAAAATCCTCGATTTCGTATTACCTTGATGAATCTACTTTGATAACAAGCCATATTTGATAATACCTATGAGACTTGTTATCAAGAATATATTCAATTTTATTGTATTATATATCCTTAAAAAATGTTTATTTGTTTTTATTGTTGAGGCCATTTTTTGAATATTTCGTAAATTTTTCTTTTTTTAGTTTTAGTTATTTTGTAACTTTTTTTGTAATATTTATTTTTACATATTTTACTTCTTTATATACTTTACTTTTATTTTTTTACTATTTGTTTTACTGTTATTTACTTGTTTATACTATAAGACAGTTTTCAAGTGATCTAGCTATAGACAAAGCAAGATAACAAAAAATATGTCAAGAACTGTTGCAGAGTTTGTTGTCTGACGTATTAGGAAACTCATTTGTTTCAAAGTATTTGGTTTCCAGTGTAAAGCACGCGTCAAGGTAAATAAAGGCTCTCGAAAGAATAATTGTGTTGACGTCTGAAAACAACTTTATAAGTAAGCCTTGGCGATTTCAAGCCTACATCAATAAACCTGTAAAATGTCTCTCCTTGTGCTAATATGGGCGTGTTATATTGAGTTAGTAAAGTTTACACATGTTATTAAAGTAAAGCGTTTTAAATTGCAGTCAACACGACAATACTTTGTGTTCGTCCTATGACTGGAACGAAATACTGCTTGAATGTTATTCATACAGGTTATTATTTATTTCAGGCAGCAACAAAATCTTGTATTCTATAGTACAGTATTGCCGAACAGTATTATATAGTTGGCTATGCTAAATCACTGCCTGAGTAATCAAGTGACAAATAACAACATAAAATTTAAACTCCAGATTATACATTTAGAGCATAAATGCAAAGGTTTAAAGTAATTGAAGTTCAGGAAACGTTTTGGTTGATATTATAAAGCTGTATCTCGTAGATATAATATATATTAGTTGGGTTACCAAATAATCATCTAACCTATTAGGTTGTTGGTTTTAAACTTGTTAAATAAATTACTGTTTTAAACTGTTTTAAAATCTTAAAAAATGTATAACCTTAGAACGATCTAAAGATTATAAACTCGGATTAACGTTAAAAATAAGATAAGCTTACAATATTGGCCAAAGCAACGGGAGACTATTCAAATTCCAAATTAATCATCCCTCGAAAACTGAATATACAATCCACCAAAATTAAAATAATCCTCGAATGGTGATAATAGAGTGAAATTTTCACTGTTAATCACGTGAGCAAAACAGCTGATACAGAGTAGGGCTGGTCATTGACAAGGTCATCATTATAAGGTCATTATCTTACTGGGAGCGGCAGACCATTTTACTCTCTTAGCATACCTTTGCACACGGTTTAATAAGTGGTCCGGTTTGGACGTAGTGGGTGTACTAATAGTATATACCTAGCTAAATGCTTCTTGCATTTTTGAGTCCCAACTAACAGTAAAGATGTCTAACATGATTTGTTTTTTTTTCTGTTAAAGAAGCTGTTTATAATTATTTTATGATATTTTTGAAAAAAAAAATCTTGAAATATGATTACAATTATGAATGACATTACCTTTGGTATGAATTGAAATGACATTCCCATATTAAATTCGTAGCCAGTTTCATACGTAAAAGTTAACCAATAAGTATTGTTTTTCATTAAACTTTTGTTCCTCAAGAGCTTACAATAGGTTGGAAAGTTTCATAGCTGGTATGTAAGGAATAAATACGAATAAATACAAATTTATACAATAAAAATCTGTATTCACAGCAGAGCACCAGGTGACTCATCAATTGTCTAGTTCACCGTATTCCGTATTGTATTTATAGTAAACGCTGTCTCTCAATTATTCATAATAACGTTATTCGTAAGATAGCAACAAAGATATGAATATACTATAACGAAATACTTTGAACAGTGCCCAGTGGCACGAACTTTGGCCTTGAACAGTGCAAGTGGACTGGTTTTACCTTAGAGTAAAGAGGTAAAGACTAGTTTCAATTTACTCGACCTATCCTAATACTCCAACAACTAGACTGAAAAGCAATTTGTTCACAATCTTGACAGTTACAACAGACGGTGTGTGCGATACAACAAGTCTGAGAAAACAAATCTTTACCAATCCACATGTCCGTCCATCTCTTTTTATGTTGGTTACTTTTTTATAATAAATGTGTAAAACTTACTTTGTTGTAATGCATTGGAAAGACTATTTTTAATAACACATGCGTTGCAAGTCCAAAGCAGTTATTTTCATCCATAGGTTAAAAAATAATCATATGGAGTGAACAAAAATGTCTATCTTGCTGATTTTGAAGTTTGTCAACTAATTTTGCCAACGAAATCAGTCCACATTTGTAGACATTTCATTGGATTGTTATTAAAAATCACAAATCCCTTTGTACTGTATATTGTAGTTTGCTAGTATACTGTGGATGGCTTGTTATAAACACATAACACATGACTTTTGTTTACTTTTTCCTTGTTATTTTTTTCAACCAACTTGGTAACTTGGCAACGCATAAGGCTAGTGTTAAAAAAAGTTGACTTTCATTTCATTTTTTACGTAATTAGTTTGTTGTCGGCAGTTTTAACTGCAGTAAACACGTTTTTAGGTTAGATATAAATTATTAAGAACATTTTAAATTAATCGTCGTGGAGAAACTTCCCCTCAAACCGCCTAAATTTTGTGAACGGGGTATAGGGAACCATGTTGTTTTTTTATTTAAATACGTAAACGCATAAATCTTCATCATCATAACATGTCGTTTCCATAGTTACCCCTTTCAACGTTATATAGCCGGGGGTAAACGTGGCTTAAAATTGCAACTAAATGGTTAAATAGATGTATCCATACAAGGTGTTTCCGAATTGTCTAGACATATTTTGTGGACTTGTTCCCTGGGCTAAGACAAGCATAAAACACCATATAAGTAAGTATGTGTCTAAAGTGTCTTTATTTCTGTCTGTCGGTCTGTTTGTGATTATTATAAATTATTTTATATCTTGAGCATTTTTTAAGATAGAGATTTAAAATTTGGTGTGAGTGTGTAGTTGAGAATGTAAAAAGAACTGTGAAAATTTCGTTCCAATGTCTCAAGCCGTTTCAATATGGCGGCCATTTAAAATCGTATTGCCAAATTTCATTAAAACCGTAAATATTAAGAAAATGTTTAACCTTGCCATAAGGATAGAGGATTTTAATACAAATCAAATGAGACCTTGTTTGTTAAAATCGGATAAAAATAACTGAGTTATTAGTTTTTTTCTACATTCGGATACGCAATTTAATAGGACCACCATACTTGAGTATGTGGATGTAAATGTGGGATGGTTTGTGATAATGATGATTCACATAAAAGATAAACATCACTTTTTGTTAATGATACTTGGTGGTATTTTGGATCTTACGAAAATGCTACAATCCTGTGGTTATTTCAAACTTGAATACAGAAGATCGCATTTCAAGCACTCTGTGGGTGAGAAAAAGTATTCCATTCTAAAAATAAATCCCGCCTTCAAGCTCCACCAACTGATATCTTGTTACAGGAATGTCTGATCGGCTTAGGCGGGCGCGTCAAACTTATCGGACATAAAAATGGCGGGAAAGCGATAAATCGTGTTTAGAAAAGGCCATAATTGGCGGGACTGTGGACACTGGAACGACTGGACACTGTGGAC